GGACAGCGCGCCCACGGCCGGCCCTTGCCGGCCGTCCGGCAATATTCTCCGAACAACATGACTTCAATTAGCATAACATGAACATATAGGCACATAATTGCTGAAAACATGTAGATTAACATGAAGCTGAACTAAGGCCGCGGCGGCACGCCGTGCACCGCCGACGGCATTGTGCCGTTTTAACGACCGAACATCATAATCTCTCGGCAATTCACTTATAACTGAACTTAAACATGCTTTAATGAACTAAATAACACATAATGGTCGGAAGCTTGAACATAACATGCAATGGAACTTGGGTGGCCGTGGTGCGCACTACGTGTGCGACCACCCCCTTTCTCGGCCAACCTCACTAACAAGACTAATTCATCCGAACATTAAGGCTAAATTAAACATGATATTGCACATAAAAGCCAAGCATGCAAGATTGTTCGGAGAATTCCATGAAAAACATAACATGGTTCGGATAAATTTAGTTAAAATATAACATGACTGCACGACAATAGCTATAACACGCATGCATGTCCATTTTAACATTTAATCTTGAATGAACATGATATTCTAGGTTAAAGCCGATGGGAACTTACCTCTTGTTAAGCCTTCGGAGACTACTCTCGAATTCCCGTGCGATGCGTGCGTAGTGTGCGATGTGCGCGAGCTCTCGGTCTTCCGTGCGGTGGCTCGTGGCGTGCGGCGCTCTCGGATATAGCTCCCGAATAACTCACTCAAAAACTCACTAACTCTCGGCACTCTCTATACTTAGAAGAAAAAATGGAACAAAATGGACATAATTTCCCCAAGTCTTCCTTAAATGCCGAACATGGCGGAGAAATTGAGGGGGACTCGGTCAAGGCCACTACATGTGCACGGCAATGGGACGAAAGCTCTCTTTCCCACGCACAAAACACAAGAAGGCGCACGGACAAAGAGGACAAGGAGGAATCTCGGACCAAGCTTCAAGATGGCCACGGCATGGGGCACTCCGCCCGGCTAGAGGACAAATGGAGCGCACGGACATCATGGCAATGAGACAAAATGGCGCACGACCTTCCACAAGCCTTTGGACTCTCCGCCCACTTCCATCCGCACGGCAATGAACTCTCCGCCCACTTGCATTGGGCGCGGATCCTCGGACGAACGCGCGCGCACGGCACCCGCATAAACTACACGCACGGACACGGGCACGGCATTACATGAACACACACGCACACGGC